ATCCAATTTCTAGCAACCGAGCCAGAGTTCCATTGTTACCAGTAGATAGTTAGATTTATAAAACAAACCTTTTTCTTCTTTTTCAAAAAAAAAAAAAAATTTGAAGTAGACCGAAGGAAGTGACATTATTATAGAATGGGTAGTTTTGAATTCCTTTCAAAAATTGTAAGCAGTTAAATATTAACTAATAAAACTATTTATAACTCATACTAAAAAAAAATTAATAAAAAAGAAATATCAACCTAACAATCTTCCGGTCGGTGTAACATGAATCTGGACATACCCCACGATCCTGTAGGGGACGGAAATTGTTTCCATATTTTATCGAAACACATTTAAAAAATCAAAAAAAAAAAACAAAAATCGTCGAAACAAGACAGGACGTTTGTAATTGTAAATTTGTAATATTTCTTAAACTTTTAATAATGAAATGTTTCTAGTGACTTTCGATGGTAAAATAAGTCTCATGCAATATACAAAAATAAAGGTTACACTTCATTATAGGTTATGAGCGTCTCTTAAAGAAATTCATTTCAAAAAAATCGAACTAATCTTCAATTGTTAAAATTTATTCCCACAGCAATTTTCACTTTACTCAAAATAAAAAAAACTCTTTTTTCAATATCTAATGGCAAATTTTATCAGTTAAATGATACCAGTTCTTTGTAGAAATTATAGAGCTGGAGCTATGAATGTTTGAAAGTAATACCAAAAGCAATGAAGAAATAAAACTTGTTTTATAAGTTTTCGAGTCGTATAACTATTAATTGTTATCTTTAAGGTAGGTGGGGTGCACAAAGATAAAATTTGAAGCTGTGAATGACAAAAATGAGGTTGGAAATAAAACTTAAAAAGATAAATTAAAATAAATGCTATTTTGAAGAACAGGTGGGAAACCACTTTTGGCATAAAGTGGCTCAAGTATTTTTATAATTTTTTTCAGAAAAAAAACATATAATGAACCGTTATTGAGACAATTGACACATGACTTGATGCGGATTATGTTTCTTTTTCAGACAATAATTTATTCAAGATATGTAGGAAGGTCGCCGGCTACTTGCGCCCGAAGCCGAACTCACAAAGAATATACCGCTTAATCAATGGTACAACTTCTATTAAAGGAAAGGAGATAAAACAAAATGACCGCCAGGGCCGAAACCGGTTTCGGCTCCTAACCGAACCGAACCATGCAGACAGGACGGAGTCTACGGCGGAATTTTTGTGTCAGGTTTACTGCCTCGAGGAGGATGGTACATAGCTTTGTAATAATAACAGTTATTTCTTCCTAATATATGGAAATCAACCTCCAAAATATATTTAAAGGCCCTGATTAAGAACTTGAGGGGCCCTAATTACATAGAAAATTTGGTGCCTCAGGTACGATTTCAATGGGGAATAAAATATAATTTGTTGACAATCCAATATGAAATTCACTTCATTAGGCTCGTGGAATATAGAACGTAACATTTAATGGTAATAATACAATATTTTCAATATGTTTTCATGTCATTATATCCATTATGTTCAAATTTACTAGATGTATTTATTTAATACAGTTGTAAATGTCATTAAGAAATAAAAATAAAAAATAATAATTTATAATTAATAAATAAATATGCAAGACAGTTCAGTCCCTTTTTCTTCTCCTTTTTTTTCTCAACCGATTTTCTTTTTTTTTTTTGTATAGTAGCTATTAACGAGGTTTAGTGTTACCAAAAAATAAAAATAGGAAATAGTGTATGTGAATAAGAATATAAATGTGAGTTTGTTAAAAAATATTTGATCTTCGAAAGTTCTTTACCGATTTCGTTGAAATTTCGATACAATGTTGCAATCAAATTCAAGAGTGTTTTTATATAAATTTCATCACCATCCGGCTTTACGTTTCGAAATGACGGATACAATATTAATACAATATTTTCTTCTTTTATTGATACTAGGTTATCGTATCGAATTGGTCGAGACCCTAATATAGGGATATTTAAAAAATATATCAATAGTTTCCACAGTGATATTAAAAAAAAAAAAAAATTAAATTGAATATATATCACCTCTGATCAGCCTCTACTGGTCCTTAATATCATAAATATGGCTGAATGAGAGGCGCTTGGATCTTCTAGAGTTCCTTAGAGGACATCTTCAGTGAATTATTTTTTTTTTTTTTTTTTAGATGTATAGAAGCATGTGAGTATGTGGGAAGTCATTTTTATTAGTTTAGTTTCTTTTTGTTTAGTTTAGTTTATATACATTTACATGTACTATTATTGTTTTTCTGTATTATTTATTTCTATTTATCGTACATAGAGTGTGGATGTGCTCTCAGAACACTATTATAAATCTTCTTAATTGTGTCAGATTGTAATATCTCCCAATAAATATGTCAAAAAAAATAAAATAAAAATAAATTGAAAATGTCTTGAAAGAAAGCCGGCTAGCTTATAAGCACATCTTAATTGTAGTATTTTAAACACAATAGCTTACAACTAATTATTTAATTATAATGAAAGTGTTTATAAGTTTGCATGATTTCCGTAATTATTGATTAACTTTTGATTTTAATGGTATTACTTCTTATTTTTTACGTTGACCAATGTGTCATTTTTCTCTAGTTCTTGGCAATAAATCTTTTTAAAGCAATAGTTAAATCTCAAGTTTTTAGTAAATAATTCAATATTAATTATCTTCCATTTTTTAAGAGATAGGAAGTGGGGTAGCTCAGTGGAATGGAGAGCACTGATCTTCCAATGCTCAGGGTCACGGGTTCGAATCCCGGCTCATGACAGGAAATTTATTTATTCTTTTCCATCAGCCGTGTGGCGAACCTGGGATCAGGAGATCCTCCTGGGGCACATCTAGCCTCTATAAAGTTCTTCTTAATCAAATAATTAATAAAGGGAGAACACCTGGTTGAGCATAACCTCAATCAAATCTTGTCCTTGCACAGCCGTTGGATAAGAAAAAGTACCTTTCTCATATGATACTGAACCCAAAACCCTTCATGGATTGTGCATTAAACACAATAGCTAACAGCTAATTATTTAATTATTTGTTTATAATGAAAGTGTTTATAAGTTTGCATGATTTCCGTAATTATACCACGTTTCCTTTTTTTCTTAACAAGTAATTATTTTTTGACAGATGTTAATAAATAGTTATTTATTTTGTGAAAGGGAATATATAAATATTTAATTGTTTCTATTACTGCTACTGTAAATCTAAGAGTTCAATTCAATCTTAACCCTTTCCTACTTCTTTTAAATATTAAAATCTCTGAGAATCAAATTATGGATATATTATAAAAAAATCAATATTTTTTTTTAACATTAACAAGCCTACTCTATGCGTATTGTCCACAGGTTGATCTAATATTGATGATATGATTCACGTTTCAACTATAATTCAAACAGAGGATGCAATACGGAAAGCATATGAAGGACAGTAGCTAGTTAAAAATAAAGAAAACTTATTTGAATATTTTATGCTAATTATTGATTGATTAATGATATGGAATAATAATATGTTATTCCAATCACATTCCAATTCAAAACAAAAATGTTTTTTTTTTCAATGATTAAAGAAGGAATGCATGTTACAGAAGAATCGTTTAGTTATGGACTTCATTTATATACATTGATTTGAATATTGGGCAACATATTGCAGATTGTGGATTTTTATTTGGATGATTCTATTTAATTTATTCATTTATTTTTTTATTGAGAAATATTGCAATCTGTCTCAAAGGACATTTATAATAGTGTTCAGAGATCACATTCACACTTTATCTATTTAATTTGTTACTAAAAACTCGTAAATACTCGGTGCTTTCCACTTGAATCGTAAGATAACTTGAGCAAAAATTGGCCTTCAAAAATATCGGACCGTTTGCCGTGACCTACATCCCCAAATTGTTAAAATAACGAGGTTATATTGACCAAACGGCCCAATATTTTTGTAGGTCACCCTTACTTCTCCATTTTGTGATCAAATTATCATACGATTTAAGTGGAAAGAAAATGAGTATTTAGTACGTAATTTAATAGACAAAGTTCGCCGGTCTCTAAATTGAAAACTCCCCAATTCCGAGAATTTTCGTAAATAAAATATTTGTGGGTTACGATCAGGTGATTTACCAAGTTTCAGCCGGATGTTAATAATTTGATAAAAAGGGGTCTGCACCACGGACTAAAACGACTGAAATTACTGAACTTCTTTTTTTCCAAATAATTAAAGCTGAAAATTCTACGGTAACTGAATATATACAAATACTCAAACAATCACAACATAAACGAAAATGTCATCTATCCTTTAATCTCATCTAACTAACTTATAAAAGCTTCTTAAGACCGGATCTCCTTCATGGAGCTTCAATGTTAGTAAATATTGTTAAGTATTGGGCCTCAACAGACACAAAGCTCCACCACTTTCAGAATCCAGTGCTGAGACGTATTACAAGACCTCTTCATTACAGGGGACAAAAACAGACCTTAAAACTTCTATTTCTCAAGACTGCATATTTTATACACAAGCAGGAGGCATATACATTTTTTCGATAGTCTGTAATACGCGAATAATCCCCAATGATTCAGACGAAACGGTCACAGAAGTTATAAACTCGTACAAAAATCCTGAGACTAGTCTACACTATCGTGTTATCACAATATCAATTTTAACTCCTTGTAACATCCTTAGAACGCATACTATCCAAGCAGTAAAAGGTATTCTATTCCAAAAAGTAAACATTACGGCTAAGAAAGAAAAAAAGTTAGAACTAGGGCATTTTTGACATACCTTTCAGATAGAGACTTAAAAGGAGTTGGATGAGAGAACATTTTTCATGAATCAAGGGACTTAATTAAGATCGGTAGGAAGTGTTGCTGGGTACCTTCTTTCCCTATGCCTGAAATGTCATTAGCTAGTTGGCACATTTACTTATTGTCACTTCGTCATTTTTTTTGTTCAGGATCGATCAGTTTTATCTAGTTAATAAGAAATGTATAGCAGGCCTATCATGTATAATTTCAATTCTTTTTGCTCCGTAACGGTAAAGAAGTTAATTTTTCTTCTAATGCAAGGCCAGATGTATTAAAAACGATAGCTTTGATCTATGATTGCCCTCGAATAGAGAGCTAATGTAGGGAGGATGATGGAGCTCTCAATGACGGAAGATGATGACAGGTGATGTAGAACAATGGCGTTGCCCTGTAACTTGGGCGACGTTGGGTAATTACCGAGGCGTCCCCGCCCCCTCCACGTAGAACGTACAACGAGTACGTGTTCGGCAACACAAGGGGCCGCTTTGGGACCCATTCATAGGCGTTCTGTGTTCTAGCGCCGATGTCCCTCCTTTGTGGGTGTATCTCTTCCTCATAACTTTGGGCCTACATGGTTGACGGATAGCATAATATATCTCGAAAAAAAAAAATGAACATAAAAAACGCTGAAATATCATATGCAATTTCATACAATAGCATATTTTATCTGCATATGTTTTTATTAATTGCTGATCAAATACCTTAACGAATCAGTGTTCTCAGATGCAAATAATCGAATTTTATATTGTATATTTGACTATAAATGCCTATAATTGCATATTTGATGCTTTGAAACACATAAAAAAAATTAAAATGTAAAATTTAAGATTACAATGCTACAACAACCAATCAATTAAATATTGACCTCTTAAGACATGTTTTTTTTTTTCATTTTCAGGCTGTTCATTTCCCCTTTTTAACACTTATATACTTTTAAATATACACTGTTTCCATTTTAGTTAGTTTCTAATTTTCTTTATTAGGGACTTTATGCAAAATTGAAATCTTCAATTGGTTAGACAAGTTCCTGAGCTTACCGATGGCATAGTATCCGTCTCTAAATTGATCAAAAAGATATTATCGATGAGATCAGCGTTGATTTATGGAACTTGCATATACGTACAATAACAAAAGAAAAACGGGTATTTTTTCAAAGACCTTGCTGGTGTAAAAAGCCAATAATTTAAATTCAATATGAATTCATCTCCATCACATTTGTTGATATAGAACAATAATTTTCTTATTTTAAAAATACTTGAAACGATAGTGGATTTTAATGTTTTTTTTAAGAATATTTCCAATTAGTTTTTTTTTTTTTTTACAATTACATGTCTGGCAGAATGTATTAATTTTCAAATAATAAAAAAAAAACAATTACATGTCACTGTTTTCTTTCGCTATTAACTGCAAGTTCCAATTAGTTTGATATTTTAGTTTTGTTGATAGGTTCTTTACTATGGGTTTTGTTTTTATTTTTATGAAGAAAAGAACAAAAAAATTGAAACATTTTTTAAAAATTTTTAATTCTTCCTCTAATTTATTTTTAGTTTCTTAGTGTAGTAACATTATTATACTTTAATGCTCTGGTGGTCTTAGTACATATTTGGAGATATTTTAGGTTTTTTAAGGTATATTTTGGTGTATGTTATGCGGCATTCTGCTTGTTTTCACTGCATAAAATTCCGGGCTCCGATCATATATTAAGAACTCTGTGTTTTAATACAACGAATATTAAACTATACATACATTTAAGCTCTTATACTAGATATACATCCACGACTAATCGTAATAATTGAAAAGTAGAATAAGCTACTCTAATGAATCACTCAAAATTCCTTACAATTATGGAAGTTATATTATTTGTAGTTGGAAACCTGAGCACATTTAAAGTAATTAGTGAGATAAAAGCAGGAAAACACAGGGACAGGAATGGGCGGCACATGATCAAAGACTGAGGAAGTTGCGAAACAATGCCTTATGTATCGTAATTTAATTGTCCTTCATTCGTTGTCATTGTGATATCATGTTACATTTTCTTTACAGCCTAATGTGAATCATTCTCCTTCGTGATGAAATTATAATTTCATCTAATGAATGATGATTTTTTTTTTTTTGTGGCTTTGACTTAAACACTGACAGGATGAGTATCATTCAAGTGATCAATCACTAAAATTACTCATTTATTTATATTAAACGTATTCTATCAACGGGTATTGTAAAAATAGTAAGACCTTGGAAGCCATACATATTACAAAAATATGATACAAACAATCGACTTCAAAGCTGACGCAAGGCATCTGAAGAATCATAACGAAGATATAATTGGATCATTAAAATTCTAATAAAAAAAATCATATGTAGATTATGAGTACAGATATGTCAACAAAAAGAAAATTTATATAATGAACTAATCATGTTTTAATACAACAAAAAATTGATATAAAACGATTGATGATATAGTATTTTATTGTGGTGTGTTCTTGGCGAGATACAAAAATTACCTCGATTTGTTAAAAATGAAAAAGAATAACTCTAAAGTATTAAAATGATATTCACTATTTATGATTTGTTTATTTGTTGATTTATTCCAATAAATTAAATAATTAAAAATGTTACAATAAATATATTTCACACATTATTAGAACTAACATTTTTTGAAAAATAAATATGAATACTTACACTTCTCAGAATACAGATCCATGTATTATTGGATTATATTCTATAGTCTACTAACTTAAATATAATAAGAATCTTAAGAAAGATGACAATGATGTCATCTCCTCCCCCAAATGAAATTTATTTTATTTCTTTACCTGTTTTATATCAGGTAATATTAAATTTTATTTCATTCAATATGTATATCTAATTCAGTTCCTTTATTAATAGGATAATATTAATTATTCTCATACACTTTGTAATTTTTTTTTATGCACAATACGTCGCGGATATCCTACCTTGCTGGTGGTGCCCCCAAGCGAATGTTCAGGTTGTCCTGACTTTTAGGTACTAAAGAAATTTGTAAAAAAAAATTGACTTTGCAGATATGTGTATAAGTTGTACTATAAGTTTATTTGATAAGGATTGTATGATATAGAGTTTAATATTAAATGAATACATTTTCCTGAACTATACCAAAGAAAACCTAACAAATCTTGACTTCTGTTCAGGCGCTTCAGTTATACGATTCCGCGATACAAGTCACTTCGGGTTCAAGTTCGACTATATAGATAATTTTTTCATTCCATAATAAGCATAAAACTCAGACTTTTAATATTAAACGAAATAGATATTCAAAGTTAAAAAATAAATAAATAGCGATTACATAAAATGAATTGTGTATTTATTAATTTTTTTTTGCAGTTTTTCCACCGCGTCCACGAGGAATGGAGTCAGAATCGATCGTCTTTAATCGAGTGACGTAATTTTTTTATTTCTTGTTAGTTGTTGTTTTTTGGTCCAGAACTAGGATTTTAGCCGAGAGGGACAAGTTTAATTTTATTTCCATTCCATTCATTGCCACCCCCACCAATAAATATCAACATTTAATAATAATATTTCGCTACCTAAGACTCCACCTGGAAAAACGTCTAAATTGGAATCTTCATACCAGACTGAAACGACAAGAAACCGCTTGACGTTTCCGATTACTTCTATACTTACTGGAAAAACGCTCTAAACTTCCAATTAATTACAAAAGACTCATATATATGACTATAATAAAGCCTATTTGGACTTATGGAGTTGAGCTATGGGGCTCCACTAAACCATCGAATTTCTCTAATATCTAATCCTTACAATCCAAAATCCTTCGTAAAATCACCGATGCTCCCTACTTTGTTAGAAATAAAACTATCCATAATGATCTTAATGTTTCTTATATCTCAGATCTGGACCAATCCAGATACCTATCCTTCCATAATAAACTTCAGAATCATTTCAATCATCTCGTTTCTAACCTTGCTTCCTCTTCAATTCCTGATAACCCTCCGAGGCGTCTGAAAAGAAGATGGCCCCATGATCTCCTAATGTAGACATATCATTAGAGTGCAACCATTGGGTAGTTCCTCAACAAGTGTTTTCACGTCATTATATCCATATATTCACATTTACTAAATGTATTTCTTTAATACAGTTGTAAATATCATTAACAGATAAAGAAAAAAAAAATATTTAAGTAAATATACTTCGAAACAAATATAATCAGATAATACTTAGTCATTTTATTAAATAGGTTATAATCAAGTCAAAAAGGAGAAACAAATTTATTTACAAAATAAAAAAAAAAAAAAATTCGTCGAATTAATCCGCCCAAAGAAAAACAACTATCTCCATCCTTTGCTCGTTCCGGCTCTGTGTTTGTTTTTCAACAGAAACCGGAGTATTGCTCAGACACTAGATTCTCGAAACTATTCGATCCTTGGATGAATACGTTAGGACGAAACCCCCAATCCTTGGACAAATGGAATCCAGATCCTCGAGAGCCGGAGGCAGAGAGTGGACCGTTAAGAATGACACCGCTGACGTAGCCGCCCTGATCCGGTAATTACAGGTCGGATTGGCAGCCCGGCCTGACCCACTGCTCCTCAATTACCTTCCTTCCTTCACACGATAAAAACCGAGAGCACTTCGGCTCTGACATTTGGATCAGGCCAACCTTTTCTGCGCCATGTCTCTATCCGTTTCGGCAACGCCTTCCCTGTAAGAGTCAGCAAGTGATGCACTTAATCCTTTAGCAAAACCAAAATCGGTATTCCGAAAAAATTGTGGCTGAGATTAAACGTTCCTACTGGGGATATATATCATTATTGTATGTCTAGCGTATTATAATTGTTATACATTGTATAATTATAATGTACCTTTCAAAGGTATTGAAATCCCGAAAAATCTCAAATTATGAGCGTACAATGTTATGATAAAGCCAGTTCTAATATATGGCTGTGAGACCAGCATCCTAGAAACAAGTATTGAAAGATATGACAGAAAAATCTTCAGCACGATAACCGAAGCGATCTGGGATCAGAGTACTAACACATTGATAAGAAAAACCCATAAAGAACTGCTTACAAAAACTGTTCAATCAATATTCCATGGTTTGGAGGCACGGATGTTAATATTAATGTTAATATCTCGTGGCAATCCATCTGGAAGCCTCTACGTAATAATAAATGCCTCATTAGAAGACCAAAAACCAGATGAATAGATAGAATCAAAAAGATGCTATAGAACTGCGTAGAGATAACTGGAAAGAAATAGCCCAAGACAGGCAGAGATGGCCCAAGTCAGGTTTGTTAAGGCGGCAAAAAATTTATATAGTCTGTAAGCCAACAGAAAAAAAATTGAGTAATTAAAAAAAAGATATATCGATTAAAGGATATAACAAGGACGTAAAAAAAAAAAGCCTTAAGTGTTTTAAATAACAGTGAGTTTAACCAGTCACCGTTTTCCCAATTCAGACATCACCAGGACTGCAAGAAACCATATCATATAAATGCAGACCAAAGGAATCTTTTCCTATTCTGATTGCACTTGTAATAACCAGGCGAGAAGGTCCTTTATTCAGCTTCTTTTCAGCAATTTAATTT